TGGAATCGCCTGAAAAAAAATTTCACAAAAACAGCAGGAGGTGCTAAAAAGGGGCAGTTTTTTTCGATTTTAAGGCAGTTTTTCAAAAATGAGCTAAAATTCCAATATTTAAAGCCATTTTGCTATTAAAGCACCATAATTTTCTGCGCGAAATTTTCATGTACGTAGAAAATATCACAAACAGACAGAAATTAAGAGAGCAAATTTATTATTAAAAAAATAATATTAGAAATTAAAGTTTTTATTTCGGAGCAGTACCTCATACTTATCACGTCCTGATTTATTGATACCGCTGAAAGAAAAGATGTTTCAGTAGCAAAACGCTTTAACAATTACCTCATTCCTTTTGCCCTCTTCAATATACGTTTTCACGATTCGCAATAGCTGGAACGCGAGATGCCTGTCGGCCCGCGGAAAGCATCTAAAACGCTTAAATCTGCAGTCAAAACCAGCGCAAGGATAAGGCCTCTTTGGTCGAGTCAGTTTTTAGATTTTACGAAAATATTGAAAAGACTGAAATGTATTCCAACATCGTTAACGAGGAATTTGCGTTTAAACCTTAGATATACACTTTAATTTAATCACCGAAAAACCTTACAGCCGGTAATTTTCAAAGACACTTTTCTGGACGAACAGCAAATTCTTTTCCAGAGTGCCAGTGGCATGAAGAAGCACTGCATGAAGGCGCGTCAAATAAACGTTTTTTGGATGCAGATATTCCTTGGCGTGATCAATTTTCTCTTGAATCTGAAATTTCTCTTTCATTCTTTTACTTCAAAATCGGATGTAAGAATTTAGGTGTTTTAGCACAAAGAACTAGCGTCATACAAAATGCTGCACCTTTTTCGTGATAAATGTGTGTTTGTCTGAATACTACGAAGTCGTACAAATTCACTCGGGCTATCAACGTGGAATCTTTCATGTTTTGACTTGTGCTTATGGCGCATTAACATGTAATTTCTATGCTGAATTTCAGTATTTGACCACGCCACTGGGATCATCGATTCTTTACGATTCGTTCATTCAGTTCGAAGGTAAATTGGCACTGTTATGTGCCAGAGAGTTGAACTTGTCATCAGCTTGCTTCTAAGCAACACTTAAAAAAAGGCCATCGACAGCCCTGCCAGCACGTGAATACTTGTGCACATGACTACAAAACCAAAAGGTTGCATCGTACGTAGTGAGTGATTGGGGAAAGGTGCGGAAGCTGTGGCAGATCTTACTTTCTATAATTTTTGTCCAGTAACACAGTTCCGCCATTTTTCATTTTCACAAACAATTTGTCAAAGATTGCGTTGTCTACAAAATCCCGATCATTAAGTGCTCATACAGCATGTTTTGATTTTCAAATGAACGCACTTCACTGGCGTTGATTTCGGTAGAAAAACGAGCAGGAAGAGAAAGCATCAAATGCTGGCATTTTCTTATCCGCTC